TGATAACAGACGACAAGGAAAAGGCAGGGGTGCTCAATTCCTACTTCATCTAAGTCTTCTCTCACAAGGAAATCTGCAGTCAAGAGGAACTACAAGCTGGAGGTGAGAAATGGAAGCCCAGGAGTGACAGACAAATGGTCAAGTAATACCTAGTTGGAATAAACACATTCAAATCTCCAGGGCCCGATGAACTCCATTCCAAAGTCATAAAAGAGCTAGCGGAGGAACTTTGATAACCACTGGCTATTATCTTCAATACATCATGGAAAACAGAAGTGCCAGACGACTGGAGAAGGGCTAATGCTGTCCCAATCTCCAAAAAGGGAAAAAAATATGAACCTGTGAACTATAGACTAGTTAGTCTGACATCAATCCCTGAAAATATTCTGGAGCAAATTATTAAAAAATACATTTGCAAGCATCTTGAAGAAAATGCAGTGATTAATAGAAGCTGGCATGGCTTTATCAAAAATAAATCATGTCAGACTAATTTAATCTCATTTTTTGACTCATTTTGTGTAACCTCCCAAATGGACACTGTGAACATAATCTACCTAGTGCTACATGACAATCTTATAAGCAAATTAGCAAAAAACTGGACTAGATGGGAAAACTATTAGGTAGATCCAAAATAGGCTGCTAATTTGGACACACATCAATGGCACCTTCTCAAATTGGATGGAAGTAACTAGTGCGGTGCCACAGGGTTCAGTCCTGGGCCCAGTGCTCTTCAACATCTTTATTAATGATTTGGATGAGGAAGAACAAAGAAAGATACTCTAATTTGCGGATGATACAAAACTGGGTGGAATAGCAAACACCCTAGAAGACAGAATGAAAATCCAGGGTGCTCTTGATCAACTTAAATGCTGGACAGAAAGCAACAGAATGAGATTCAATTAGGACAAGTGCCAAAGATTTAAGAAAGATGCAGAAATATTAGAAAGTGTCTGGAGGAGGGCAACAAAAATGATCCAGGGTTTGGAAACATTGCCCTATGAGGAGAGACTGAGAACTGGGCTTGTTCAGCCTTGAGAAGACTGGGGGGGGGGGGGGGGACATGATATCCCCTATAAGTACCTCAAAGGCTGTCAAAAAGAGGAAGGTCAAGATCTTGCTGATGCTAGAGCATAGGACACAGATTAATAAATTCATGTTGTGACAACTCAGATTCAGACTGGACATCAGGAAAAGCTTCCTCACTGTCAGAACAATAGGGCAGTGGAACCAACTGCCTAGAGAGGTGGTGGGCTCTTGCACACTAGAGACATTCAAGGTGAAACTGGACAGTCATCTGAGTGGGATGGTGGTGTTCCGCAATAGCAGGACGTTGGATCTGATGACAATCGTGGCCCCTTCCAACTCCACTATTCTATGATTCTATGACAAGTACCCTGATATACCTTTCCCAAGTGCTTCTCTCCAGTCACTTGTCCCCCATCCTGTACCTGTGACAACTGTGCAATACCTTGCACTTATCCTCATTAAACACCATTCTCTTGTCTCCTGCCCACTTCCACAGCCTTCTGGATCTGGATCTGGATCACCTGCTTCTCGATTGTGGCCACTGCCCCTGCTTTGGTAACTTCTGCGAATTTAGTCAGCAGACTGGTTATCCTCTCCTCCATTTTATTGATAGAGGTTGAACAGAATCAGTTCCAGAATTGAACCGTGGGGAACTCCGCTAATCACTAGCTGCCATCATGATGATTCCCCACTGATACTCACCCTCTGCTTGTGTCTGTCAACCATGTCTTAATCCATCGGACAGTGCATTGCTCTGTCCCTAAAGTCGCTACACCTTTTAGGTTGGAGAAGAGGAGACTCCGAGGGGATCTGTTGGTGTCATATAGGTATGTGAGGGGGTGTCACACAGAGGTGGATTGAGACCTGTTTTTCTCTGCGGAGGAGGACAGGATACATTCCAATGGAGCAAAACTCAGGAAACCAAGGTTCAGTTTAGATGCCAGGAAGTACTTCTGGACAGTTCAAACCCCATGGGCATGAAATGGGCTTCCATGGGAGGTGACTGAAGTCCCATCAGTGAGGGCATTCAAGAATAGGCTGGATATGCACATGGTAAGTATTTTGTGAGGATGTGGATAAGTGTAAGTGAGTGGGATGGTGTAAATTGGTGTTCTGAGACAGCAGTGGGGGTGGACCAATGGCCTTCATGGCCTACTCTTCTGTGATTTTATGATTCTGCACTTGGGACACAGGAATAGGTGTCACAGGTACAGGAGGTAGACAAGTGGCTGAAGAGCAGCACTTGTGAAAGGGATCTCACAGTACTTGTCAACAACAGGCTGAACATGAGTATGCAGTGAGGCATGACGGTTAAGAAGGCAAACGCTACCCTTGGGTCTATAGCCAGAAGCATAGCTTCCAGATCTAAGGAGGTGTTGGTATTCCCCAAAGAGGTCCGCCTGGCACCGTCGTTACTGGCTTTTCGGCGCCAGGTAAAGACCTTTTTATTTAAACATCATTTCAATTGTTAAAAC